GAGAAATATGCTTTTAATCTGATAGGTTTTCCTTTATAAGTTACCAGATGCTTTTGGCTCACAGTGCCTAAAAGTCTTTCCCTCGTCTTGACTTTACATAACAACCTGACAACAACGTGCCTAGGTGATGATCTTTTTGTGATGAATTTCCCAGGTGATCTTTGAGTTTCTTGTATTTGGATGTCTAGATCTCCAGTTTTCCTTGATTATTCGCTCAAATATGTTTTCCAGGCTTTCAAATGTCTCTTCTTTCTTGGGAACACTAATTATTCTTAGGCTTGGATATTTGGCATAGTCCCAAACTCTTGGAGGCTTTGTTCATTTTATAAAATTCTTTTCTCATTATCTTTGATGGGTTGTTAATGTGAAAGCCTTGTCTTTGAGCTCTGAAGTTCTTTCTTCTGCTTGTTCAATTCTATTATTGAGACTTGCCAGTGCATTTTGCATTTCTCTAAGTGTATCCTTGATTTCCAGAAGTTGTGATTGTTTTTAATGTTTGCTATTTCACAAGAATTTTCCTTTCATATCCTGTATCATGTTTTTTATTTCTTTAAGTTGGACTTCATCTTTCTCTGGTGCCTCCTTGATTACCTTACAACCTTCTGAATTCTTTTTCTGGCAATTCAGAGATTCTGTCTTGGTTTGTGTCTATTGCTAATGAGCTGGTATGATCTTTTGGGGGTATGAAATAAACTTGTTTTGTCGCCTTAACCAGAATTGCTTTCTGGTTCCTTCTCATGTGGGTAGACTATATCAGAGGGAAGATCTGGGATTCAAAGGCTGCTGTTCAGATTCTTTTGTCCCATAGGGTGCTCCCTTGATGTGGTGTTCTTCTCCTTCCCTTAGGAACAGGGCTTCCGAGAGCTGAATTATAGTAATCGTTTTTGCTCTTCTGGGTCAGGCTCTGGGCTGGTAGTGAGAAGCATCTGCAGAGTCCTGTAATGTGATCCGTCTTCAGGTTTGCAGCTATGGACACCAGCACCTGCTCTGGTCAAGGTGGCAGGAGAGTGAAGTTAACTCTGCGAGGGCCCTTGGTTGTATTTTTGTTTAGTGTGTTGGTTTTGTGTTGGTTAGCCTCCTGCCAGCAGGTGGCACTTTCAAGAGGGCATCAGCTGTGATCCTATAGGGAGGATGCAAACTTGCCCTAGGGACACCTGGTTAAGTATTCAGGCAGTGGTCAGGGCCACAGAGTTCCTGAGAGATTATGACCTTTGTCTTGAGCTACCAGGCGGTTAAAAAAAAGACCACCAGGAGGGGGCAGGGAGAGGTGTGTCTGAGCTCAGCCTTTCCTTGGGTGGGACTTGCTGCAGCTGCTGTGGGGGATGGGCATCTGGTTCCCAGTCCATTGGAGTTATAGTCCCAGGAGGATTATGACTGTCTCTCCTGAGTCATACAAATCACCAGGGAAGTGAGAGAAAGCTGGCAGTCACCAGCCTCACCACGCCCTCATGCAGCTGGCAGTCCTAAAGGCCGGTCTCACTCCTACTTTGCCCCTCAAAAGCACCAAGTCTATTTCCAGGCAGCAGGTGACCAGGGCTGAGAACTTACCCCAGACCACGAGCTTCTCTGTTGAGAAAGCAAGCAGATTAAGAGTTTTTCCATGTCTCAGGGAGCCTGCAGCAGCAATCTACTTCCTTCAAAGGGTCTGTGGATTCTCTTGGCTTTCCTAGCATGTTCCTGCGGTAGTTCTTAGAGCAAAAGTTCATGATGGAAGTCTCCACACACTATTCTGTCTGTCAGACTGGCAGCTGCAAGCTAGTCCTACCCCCATGCACCATCTTCATCCTAAAGTTAATTTCTTAAAGACAGCACACAGGAGTTGTATCTTTCTTTTTTATTCACTCTGAAAATCTGTATTTTAAGTAGAATATCTAGTTCACTTGCATTTAGTGCAATTATTGACACTGGGTGCATTTAGAGCTACTGTTTTCCTTTTTGTTTTCTTTTTTTCCCATCCATTTTCTGTTCCTTTATTCTTTCCTCCCCACCTTATTCGGTTTTTATTTCAACATTTTTAAATGTATTAGCTATACGTCTTGGCACTAATTTTTAGTGCTTTCCTAAGGAAGTATTGTGCAATAGAACTTTCTGTAATGATAGAAATATTATATAATCTTAATTTTACAATATGGCAACCACTAGCTACATGTGCTATTGAGCACTTAAGATATGACTAATATAATTAAAGAGCTAAATTTTCAATTATAATTAATACAAGTTTACATAGCTGCATAGGGCAACTGTCTACCATGTTTAACAGCACAGCCATAGAGAAAGCTAGAGGGGGAAGGTCAAGGACAGGGCCTGAAATGAAAGTAAATTTCTGAAGGTATCTAGTTAACTACTGAAATGACATAACTGTTTTCCACAACTTAAAAGACCAAATTAGATTATAAATGAAAAAAGAATCCTCAGGGAATAAGACTTAGAGGCTAGAAGCCGGACCCTAGGGCTGCTTACTACAATGAGTTGTCATTATTTCTAGGTCTTTCAGTATATAAATTAACAGAACACAAAATATTTTTTTTTAATAATCCTTAGTTTATACTGACATTTCTGTTGCAAAGTCAAACAAAATGAAAAATCCCTGTAACCCTCTATTTGAATTGTAAATATTTCCAAGGGTTCAGGAATACTGTGCCACTTTATATAAAATGTAAGGAACTTGAACCATATAGATTGATTTACCATTATACAATGCCCCTGTCCTTTATGCTACAGCTATCCTACATACTACTTCTAAGCACAAAATAAACCCACTATATGCCATAATTTTGTTTTTAAAAAAATCAATCATATGTATTTAAAACAAGTTAAAAGGAAAAATAATAGGCTTCTATACTCACTTACCTATTTGCAATTCCCTGTTTCCATCCTGAAAATTCAAATAGCCATCTGGTAGCAATGTCTTTCAACATGAAGAATTTTCTTTAACATTCTTCCAACATTTTTTTCTTTGAACATTTCTAAGAACATTATTTGAAAGGCAGGTCTGCTGACAAATATTTTCTTAACCTTTATTTAAAAATTTTTTTTCACTTTCATTATTGAAGTATACTTTCTCTATATGTAGAATTCCAAACTGACTGCTTCTGTTAATTTTCCATTCAGCACATTTAAGATGCTCTACTGCCTTCTGGCTTCCACTATTGTAACGAAATATGAAAAAAACTTTTCTGCTAATCTCTTATATGTAATGTGTGATTTTCATAAGCTTCTTTCAAGATTTTCTCTTTATTTTTGGTTTTTAGCAGTTTGTCTACGATGAGCCTTAGAGTCGGTTTTTTTTTTTCATTCTCTACATAAATTCTCTTTGAGATTCACTAAGTTTATCTATAAATTTCTACTTTTCAGTAAATTTGGAGATTTTCCACTATTATTTAGTCAAATGTATTTCTGATATTCCAATTACAGACATGCTAAACATTTTGACATTCTCTAAACAGTTACATTCTCTGCTCTGCAGACTGTATCATTTCTTTTGCTCTGTCTCAAGTTCACTACTTCTTTATCATGTTTAAATTTATGAAAGCCATTAGAAATTTTTATATCAAATAAGGTTTTTTTTTTAAATTCTAGAATGTCTATCTGGTTCTTTTACATAGTTTTATTATTTCTCTGCTGTAATTTCTAATTTGTTTATTCATAAGGATATTTTCCTTTATATTCTATTTATACTAACTGCCTTAAAATACTAAATTCTTCATTTCACAATCAATCTGTATTAGTGCCTTCTTCTCAAGGATGAATCATATCACTGTTTTTCCTTCATCTGTCTAGTGACTTTGGATTATATCCCATACATTGTGAGATACATCACAGAGATCCTGGATTCTATTATACTCCCTGACAAAGACTGCATTTAAAAAAAGAAAAAAAAAAAATTTAGCAGTTACATTGGCCAGATTCCAACTAAACTCTCTAACACCTATGGTAGAAAGCACCTGATATTTCTGTATAGTTCACATGAAAGTTGAGCCATTAGTCACATTTCTGGGCCAAGTATATACACAGAGTTTTGAGTGTTCCCTCTGCGGATCTATTTTCCAGGAGTCCCTTTAATTTTCCACCTGCTGTGTAATCCTAAGCTTTCTATTCTGGTTCTTCAGGCATTTTAGATTGTAGTTTCTATCAGTGGAACACAAATTTTCGCCCCAACACAAAACTCTGTTAAATCCAGAATCTCAAGAAATGACACTCTATTCATCCATACATTAACTTCCCTCTATTTTCTGCCTATTTTTGGTCATTCCAATGTTTTTTGGAACATAATTTTTAAATTATTTTTTTCCAGAATTTATGTTTTCTGTAGGGATGAACCAGTCCAGAAAGAGGAACATCTGAAATATTGGAATGTTTCTACTTTTAAACAATCTTATGACACGTCTTGAATAAAAATTGTCTAAGCTACTATAAAGTCAGTTAGGAACCATCATTTCATTTTAGTGAACTTTGGGAAATACGTTAAATATAAAAAGCCACCAAGTTAAAATAGAACATTGGGTGACTTATTTTTTAAAATTTTGTGACATTACTCTAAACGACAGATGTTCTCTCTGTCTGTACTTCCTTCAAATATTCCTAACAATTTTGTACTAGATTCAAGCTATAAGGCAAAAATTCCTTAGATTTTTATATTGGTTAGTTGGTTGGTTGGTTTTTGTTTCGGTGATTTGGTTTTTGTTTTTTTTTGTTTTTTTTTGTTTTGTTTTGGTAACATGTCTGGTACACTCTTTCTCTTCATTAAGGGAGAAAAACTCTAATAAAAATAAGGTTAAAAAAAAGCATCCTTGCAAAATATTATTCCCACAAAACACTGAGATTTCTATTATTTGCTAAATTTATTTTGAAAATAAAAAATAATTTGAAAATTAAAAACAGGAGAAATAAATGCATTTTAAAGTCTGCTGGTTATAACTGAATATAGATTAAGTACGAATGAATTCATTTCTGTGAAACACTTTTCAAATCTGTATATTATTAGTCAAATAACTTCTTACCTTTTGACAGCTTCGATCAATAGGATCCACTGGAGTAGTTCTGGGATGGGTTACCCTGACATCATCTCTTCCATATTCCAGATTGGACCATAATTCAGTTGTAAGTGCATTAATAAATCCTAAAAAGAATTATTACTTCATTTATAGCAAAATATTTCTTTGGATTATGAAGGAAAGATAAGATGATCCCTTTAACCAATCTGGTCTACTGTGACAGAAGACACATACTTGCATCTTGTATAAGAAATAATCTCTTGGTAGAAATTATATATCATAAAACTCTGTAATAACTCAATTCTGAAATACTATTTCCCTGGAGGACTGCTGAATTTTGAGTCCCAGCTTCTTCACTTTGGCCAGTAACTTCTCCGAGCATGTTTTCTGAAACATAATAAGGTTAATACTTTGCTCTGCAAATCAGCCAGCAAAGTAAGGCACCCTGAAATCAGGTTGTGTGTTTCAGAGGTGAGAGGCAGGGAGAAAGAGATATCAGTAGGCAGAGTAGGCATCCAAAGAGTGTATGCTCCTTTATTCCACTAAAACTTTTTATTTTTGTAATTCCATACACTAAGAACAGTTCTGTATTTCATACAACTTTTATTTCAACCCAGTCTTTAAATTCTTATGAGTTATACTAAACAACTAAATGAAAATGAGTATAAAACCTGATTATCAAATTAGTCTATAAAAAAATCAAGTAGAAAAATCATGTGAAAAAGTATAAAACATAATATTTAATCATAAAATAAGTTCATAAAAACAACAGTAGATCAGAAAAGGTCTTCTTGTCTGAGAGAAAAAATATGGGCTCTAAAATCAAGAATATTAGAGTTTAAATTCCAAATAGCAGTTCATCCTTGCAAAAATTCCTTGACTTCTTGGAGCCCCACTTCCCCCATTTGAAAACTGAAATAAGGATGCCACATTCCAGGGTTGCCATGAAGTATCAACAGTACAATGATACATGTGAAGTTCCTAACATAGTACCTAAGACATCGGAGAAGCTGAAGAAACAGTAGTCTTCCTACTTCTGTCCTTTGAAAACTACACTTAACCCTCTCATGAAAAGTTTGATACTACGATGCTCAGAAGCTTAACGATTTTACCAAGGGAGAGATCTGAGATTAAATCTAGTCTCCAAATGCTTCGGTTAATGTGCACTGAATACTGTACTACATGAATTTCATTCTAAGTAGAAGAAAAAAATTAGTGGTTCACTTTAGGACAATTTTTTTTTTTTTTTTTTTTACCAACAAACATGTTTCATAACACAAGTAGTCCAAATCAGTTCAGCCAAAAAATAAATTTAAAATATGTCATAGGAAAAATATTTGTATTTAAAGAGAATCAGTAGTGATCATTCATGTTATAATTCAACTCTAAGCCCTGAGAAAATATTATTACAGCATCCCTATCAGGAATTATATCTTGTTCAGAGCTCAGATAATTTTAATATTTAAGACATACTGGCCGGACGCAGTGGCTCACACCTGTAACCCCAGCACTTTGGGACTCCGGGGCAGGCAGATCACCTGAGGTCAGAGTTCAAGACCTGCCTGACCAATATGGTGATATCCCATCTCTACCAAAAATATAAAAATTATCCAGGTGTAGTGGCAGGTGCCTGTAAATCTCAAGTACTTTGGGGGCTGAGGCAGGAGAATTGCTTGAACCTGGGAGGCGGAGGTTGCAGTGAGCCGAGACTGCGCCATTGCACTCCAGCCTGGGTGACAAGAGCAAAACTCCATCTCAAAAAAAAGAAGAAACATATTAAATTTCCAATGCTTTAACTTCTTACAAATCAAATGGACAGTGAAGAATATATACTTACTTCCAACTTCAAAGAAAATGCGAAAGCTAAGTGGTGAGACAAATGCTTTCAAGAAGGGAAGAGGAAGGAAGGGAATTAGGAAATGTGATATATGTGTGATAACTATTATGAGTGTAAATTTTGAAGCATATATAAGCCATTGACAATGAACATTAGAAATTCCTATTAGATGGGACTGTACTGAGAGAAGGTGATATTCTTCTGATTTATAATATGAAGAGAGATTCTTAAAGCATTAAGTATGTTTCACCTGAGTTCCATATTTGCCATTGGTCTAAGGCAAGAGAACAAGGCTGTATATATTTCACAGAAAAACAAAATCCTAGTGGAATTTCATGGAAGAAAGACAAAAAGAAAATCCTGTAACTTTCTTTTACATAAGGTCTAACTTGGTAAAAAGAACTTTAGTGTAAATGTCCTGATACTTCACTGTGCCAGTTAAATTTTCAGTTGGCTTGCTCATTTTATTTTTTAAATGATTATAATTCTAATAAAAAGAAAAAATTTACCTGACTTTTTTAGTGCAATGGCACCTGCAGCTGTTGACGCCACTTGTGTAACCAAAACTTGATAGCCAAAATTTTTATGCCTGCTGTCCTAGCAACAAAAATAAAGAACACAATGTGAAGCAAGAAAACATGGCATGCTATCTACACATTGCTTTAGGACGGCAAGAACTGCAGAAACAAACTCTGAAAAATATCTTAAAATCATACCTTAGATCTTAAAAAGCCAAAAGTTTAGGGATATTTAGTATGAGAGAAAAAAGTTGATTACAACTCAGTGGCCTTTGACTGTTTGAGTAAAGACTAAATTATATTGTAAATGTATTTAATAATAGAATAATAGAATGCCTCTACAAATATTTTTGTACCCTTTAAAATGTGAGGCCTAAACCATCACTTCACTGACTTATACATTTAGATTCAATGGGTTTCTTTCTCTAGGAAATCCACTCAGTTTCACTACATCCAGATGTTTGATAACATAATTATAAAACATATGATAATTAACTGCATTCTTCAATTCCATCTGGTTGTTTGCAATTCTGTAAAAACAGTCACAGGCACTAATACCAACTCTCTAATGTTTTCCTTAAAAAAAAAAAAAAACCAAGTTGACGATTACAATGCTATATGGTTTTTTAATTGAGGCTTAATAACTTCTTCATACACAGAAAACAGAATGATGTTCTTAATGGCTTTTACAACTACAAAAACTCCCTTTGCCTGTGGCAGACGGTAATTCATACCTGTAATTTTTTTGCATATCGGTTGAACATAAATGTCACACATTCATTGATGGCAACTGTTCTTTGAAGAAGCAGTAATCCTTTGGGGGTGGCAGCAAAATGTAGTATATCATCTAACAAATTATCTTCCCAAGCCAAACTGAAACAGGTAAGAGAAAGGTAGAGCTTTCTTTAAGATACTAAAACCTGAAAAGAAAGACTATGTCTTAGCTGAGCTTAACTCTGTTTACAATTAAAGCTGCAGAGTACATATTCATTGCAAATTAATCAGTAAAGGTTTAAATTTAAATAGAAACTTGGTTTATTTCGTAGTGAATTATTTTATTCTTACATTTTCTATACCTATAATTTTCTTCACTGAATATTAAATGCATATGTCAGCATTTTTATTATACCTAAGTTCTCTCATACACACACTAATTTCATTCTATTTTCCTATTAAAATTCTGCTGTGCATGAATTCCCCAAGCTTCAGTTCTCCATTATTTCTGTACTTTCTTTTCATTATAAATTATCTGTCTTCTACTTTCAAAAGCACATGATATATATTACCTCTTTTTATTTTCATAGGTTGTTAATGTATTTTACTTTTGGGGAATGATATTTTTTTCTCAGAGCACTTCTGTAAGGAAGACCAACATATATTTATAAAGCCAAAATTATAGATAACTATAACACTGCGAATTATGAAATGTTCAGAGAATCAACGTTTAGTCACAGTGTGCTAAAATCCATGTTGCATTTCAAAACATGATATGAATACCTAATTACTTTTTACTTTCTTTGAAAATATATATACACATTAACATCTTAGGAAAAAGCACTTTTAAAAACATGGAAATACAACTTACAAATTCAAAACCAGCAGAGAAAAATGTAGAAATAAAGAAAATTTTATCCATCTAACACAAAGCAATAGAGGCGAAATGCATAGAATATGTAATATACTTACAAAACACAAAATAAGAAAATAAGCCAAACATACAAATATCTCAAAAATGTAAAAAAAAAAAATACCTAAACTTACCTAAAAAAAAAAACAGAGAGAAATTTAGAGGCTAAATACAAAATTTGCTACTCAGAACAGTAGAAAGTAAAAAGGACTGGGGGAAGGAAAACTATGTATAACTATGTATAACAGATAATATCGGCTGACTGACCGAAACCCCATCTACAACTACTTTTTCATCAACCACCATCTGGCCATTGGTGGCTATATGACACGTCCAACCGGATGTTCACAAAAATGCTAATGAGAAAATATTCCTTTCTTAAATAAAAGACAAGGCATCATGACTTGTGGATCATGACAAATCCACTCTACAGTAAGAGATCATATATCAAGCAGTCAAAATACTAATACAGATATTAAAAGTTTTTGTAACACACACACACACACACACACACACACACTATCAGCTTCCAATGAAGAATATATCGTCTTTTCAAGCAGATAGTTTTTTTTTTTTTTACAACTGACCCAGTAAGGGGTCACAAAGTAAATTCGACCAACCTAAAAACATATGTATCATGAAATCCATGTTCTCTAAAAAGAAGATATCTGTAAGTCAACAAAATAAAATAGTAAAACAACTATGTTTAAAAACCAAAATGCATGCACACACATACACACACACGCACACACACACACACTCTCTCTCTCTCTCTCTCCCCCCCCTTCCCCCTCTCCCCCCCAATATTTAATGGATTAAGGAGTAAAATGTAAATATAAATTACAAAAATATGTTAAACAGTTTAATAATGGAAGTATCACATATCAAATTGTATTCATTGCTGTGGTTAATATAGCTTGCTTCTCTCACCATCCATTCTCAGTTCCCTTTCACTTACTTTCCTCTACTATAAAGGCAAAGGAGGGAGGGAGAGATGGAGAAAAGCAAACATTAACAAGCCCAAACCTTGTCTGCATAAACTAATGCAATAAATTGGTCAAGGAGAGAAAAGGCCAAAAAATAGTAAGAATCCAAAAAGGGGAAATAATTACAGCAGGAGAACAATTATTTTTAAATCACACACAAATATTTTGAAAAATATTATATAATAAATATACAAAAAGTCGTGTTATTTTTTAGAAAATATAATCAAGTCATTCAAGCAGAAACAGAAAATCTGAATGAGACATTACCCATTAAAGAAAACGAATCAACACAAACGTGACTCTTCCCAAAGAAAACAGAAGCAAAAAACTTGCAAGTTATATCATTATATGATGCGAAAGAATATACATTATATCCATCGTGTTAAGCTACCAGGACAGGTAGAGAAATACTACCAGGTGGGGGCAGTGTCTGAGCTCAGACTCTCCTTGGGCAGGACCTGCTGTGGGGGTAGTTTTCAGGCCACTGAGGTAAAGTTCCAGAGGGGAGTATAACTGCCTCTGCCGTGCTAGATTTCTTTTTAGTTTGAAATCCTCTACTATGATTTGTCACTTTTTCACTTTTATTCATGCACTTATTTTCTACTCACTTATTAAATAACTTTTTGGGACAAGTGCTCTGATGAGTTCTGAAGATACACATATGAACATATTATGTAGTGCAGAATACAAATACAGCTAGTGCTCGACTTACGACCACGATTGGTTCCGACAGACTGGTCGTAACCAATTTACGACGATTTGGTCCTAAGTTGAGTAGGCTATATGTACAGTACTGTGAAATGATGTTATAAAAATCTTTAAGTCATATCTCATCATAATTTTCTTTCATTATTGTTATATATCATAATTTTCTTTGTTCATTTTATGCCATTTGTATCATCTCTACACCATTTTGTTTCTTGTTTTTACATTCATCAGGTTTAAGTAAAACACTGCATTACAGTACAACTGGTTTAATATTTGCAAAACATACAAAATTACAAAATACAGGTGCATACAAAAATACAAAATACAGGTGTAAAAAATACCATAGGAAATATTTTCCCAACTGCAAAACATATCAAAATATATAAACATGTACAAAACATTTTATTGGCCACTGGTGCTTCGTTGCGGATTGTTGATGTCGTCATCTGAGGCAGCAGTTGGCGTTACCGGAGTTGGTTTTTTCATAAACATGGTGAGCTTTGTCTGAATTGTATGTTTCATTTTTTCTTCATAAATTTCACGATACGGACAAAACACATCGTGCGTCATCCATTCAATCCTTGCAAATCGTTCGATGTTTGGGTCCATTGCTTCGAAATGTATAAGAAGTTTATTCAGTAAAGATAAACTGTCTGATAATCCCTTAGTGGTGAACTTACTTTCTGGCTCCTCCTTTCTCTGCTTCTCTTCTTTCTTCTTCCGCCACTCTTTCTTCTTCCAGTTCAATTAGTTCTTCATTTGTAAGTTCTCCGGATTCTTTGTCTAGCAACTCTTCGACATCTTCCATTTCACACTCCAAAGAAAGGTCTTTAGCGAGTTTTACTATTTTTTCCCAAATCGTTTCAAGTTCATGTTCACTGTCAAATCCGTCAAAATCATTAACATAGCGCTTAACACAATTTTTCCAGATGCCATTCATGCACTTTGTCGTCACAGCCTCCCAGGCGGTAGCAATATTCTTGTTACACATCAAAATGTTGTAGGGTTTCCAAAAATCTACAGCAGAGCAGTTGTGGCTAGAGATTGTGGTCGTAAAGTCGAATGGTCGTAAGTTGCATAGGTCGTTAAGTAGATCAATACCTGTAAGTAAATATGGCATGGCAATATTGTATGCTAAATTTATATGATGTGGGTTTTGCAGGGTCCACTGGGAGCCAACTTGTGGGAGATGTCTTTCTAGAAGTTATTGTCCAATAAATTATAAAGATTATATAGCTTAACAAATGACATAAACTTTTGGGAGCTTTATGGCCCTGCCCATCACCTAAGAAATCAGAACACTTCCCCTGGTCTAATTAGGGCAAGCTTAAAACTCACTGCTACTACTGCAGCTGGTACTCTTCTGCAAGTGCCACCTCCTAGTTGGAGGTCAACCAACTCAGGCCATTACAGCACCTCACTGCAGAATAACACTGTGCCTAGGAACAAGAAAATAGCTGTGGGACCTCAGCTAACACCACTGCCTGCACCACCCTGGCTAGCCAGAAGTCCTGAGTCTGTCCGCATGACAAATTCACTACAACTATAACCCACCTTCAAGAAAGCCAGCACACTAAGCCTATCTTCAACCACAGAATCAGAGGGTCTACATCTACCATAGCAGATGCCGGTATCCACTGCTGGGAGACTTGAAGACAGGTCTCATCACTGCATCCTTTACAGAAATTCCCTGCGCCAGCCTGGAGTCCAGAAGCCCTACTGGGTGGATATACACAGAAGGGCAATAAAAATCACTGCAGCCCAGTTCTCAGGATGTCCCATTTTTAGAGTAAGGAGGAGAGCACCATATCAAGGGAACACCCTGTGGGACAAAAGAATCTGAATGGCAGACCTTGAGTTCCAGATCTTTCTGCTAGTGGGAAATTTCTTACATCAGAGACATAATTGCAGTGCTGGGCACAGTAAGGAAAGTTTACCCCGCTATCCAAGAGGCAGACAGCCTCTGTGATAATGGTCTTGGAGAAGGGATTCTTAGTCCTCCCTGGTACATCACTGCAGACACAGCTGAGGGTTCTTTAATGGGAGCGGAACATGGATGCATCTATGGACAAGCTTCCTAAAGCAATTCAGGATGACTTCTGCCCCAGAGGAGGAGCACTCCCCCTCCAGCAAGATTCAGGCCTGCATAAGAGGGAGAGTCACAAAGCATCAACACTCCCACAGATGAAAAGAGGTGCCTGTCTGGTATGAAAAGCTGAACACTGGAACAGCAGTGAGGCTATGAGGTGAATTGCTTTCCTGCTGGCCTGGGAGAGAAGCTGAGGTAGCTAGCTCCCAGCCATTGCCATAATCCTCAGTACATCTTATTGAGACCTGCCCTAGCCACCTCCATCAGGGCTGGGACCTCTGTCCATCACTGGGTATTACATCTACCCACCTGCCTTAGCTACAACTGGTGAATACCCAGAGATGCCTCCCCATTGACCTGAAGCCTAAACTTTCACTAAATAAAATACTGGAGAGAAAATAAACAAATAAATAAATAAAGTATACCCCACAAGAGAATGAGATAAGTCTCTAGAGATCCCTGC